CCAGCATCCTTCAGACCTGACCAGTGCTGAACAAGAGAATTGGTCAAACCACAGGAGGGCAATATTATCTAGCAGCATTGCCAACATTGTTATTGGGCTCTTAGAAGACATTTAGGGGTAAAATAGAGCTAAATAACTACACAGAACACTGAGAGCCGGGAATGGTGGCTGAAAACAAATTCTATGGGCTTAAATCATGCCATATCATAGATGTTTCCAGACCAGAGTGTGCCAGACTAGAGAGATTCAACCTGTAGTCTTAAAGGTTGAGGGGATGAAGATGTGGAAAGGCGACATCCTCCAAGGCTACGATGTAGAGAGAAGTGAAACTGGAGAATTGGGGTGGAAGAGAAAAAGTCTGCCCAAGACATGATGGAAGTGGGGAAGATACAGTGAGAAGGAACCTTTCTGTGGTAGGAGGCCAAAATACATTGTGGGAGAAGACATCTTTTGTTGCAATTTGCTTAATCTTAATTCAGTTCCAATTGAATTGGATTGACTTACATTCCCCCTTGCAGACTTGATTCGGCAAAATACCTGCACTGGCTAACTACATTATGGAGATATTAACTAAGGGTGTGCCTACACTGCACTGTTACTTCGAGATAGCTAGTGCTATTTTGAAATAACAATGTGAGCACCTACACAGCCATTTCATTATTTCAAAATTGTTTTGAAAAAACGGGCAGCTTATTCTGAAATCTGTAAACTTCATTTTACGAGGAATAATTTCAAAATAATGATGCTCCGTTTTTGCGCAAGAGGCTTTTGCGCAAAAAGGAGACGTCTGCATGGCTCCTTTTTGCACAAAAAAACCCTCTTGCGCAAGAGCCATTCTTCCTAAAAAAGCCTCTTGTGCAAAAATGGTGCCTCATTAATTATGCAAATGAGGAGCAGCGATATGCCACGCTTTGTCTTATTTGCATAATTATGCAAATGAGGAGCAGTGATATGCCACGCTTCGTCTTATTTGCATTTTTTTTGTGTGCAAGAGGGGGCAGTGTAGACATAACCCCTGTGTTATTTTGAAGTTTGGCACTGTGTAAACATTCCAAATTTCAAAATAAGCTATTTCAAAATAGAATCGAAATAACATATGCAATTTGTGTAGCGCAAATTGTGTATCTTATTTCAATTTTAGGGTGCTGTTTGAAGGCACCCTTACAATTTCTTAGAAAAATCAATTTTTATATGCTCTCTCCTGTGAAATATGCTCACAAAATAAAATTGTTTAGCCTTTGAGTATGTTTGCACTTGGTAAAAATCTGAAACTATGAACATTGTACTGTTCCACATGATGTTTTTCTGTCATACTTACATTTTCATACAGTGCTTCTAGTGTTTCCAGGTCTACTATGGAATTATCCACATTTAGTGTAGCTATAAAGGATAAATCAACAAAGTACATATTAAAAATACTGGGTTAACTTCTTTTTTCTAGGTAACATATCTTATAAATCACAACTGGCCAGAAAACAGAACTGCACTTCCACACATTTTTTTGACATTTTTGAAATTCTTTTATTCCAAATTATGGGAAAAGTCAATAATTCTAACTATGTCATAGGAGTTGAATTTTCAAAACATTAAGTTTCAGAGAACTGTAATGAATTTTTTCAACTTGCTCCTGTGGCTACCTGTTTTCTAGGATGAATGGTTCTCTAAGTTGGCCATGAAGTTGGGGCTCTGAGGAAGTGAGGGAACTGGCTGCCCATATTCTTAGGCAGTCTTGGGAGCTAGCCTAGGACAGGAGCTACTCTGGGAGAAAGCTGAAAAATTTCATTACTGTTAATTTCTGTTCTCCAAAAAGACTTTAAAAAATTTTAGCTTACTCCTAAAAATTAAGAATAGTGATAGAGATGCAGCCGTGTTAGTCTGCTGTAGCTGAAACAAAAGACAGAACTATGTAGCACTTAAAAGACTAACAAGATGGTTTATTAGGTGATGAGCTTTCGTGGGCCAGACCCACTTCCTCAGATCAATATGTGGAAGAAAATCAGCACAACCATATATATCAAAGTGAGACAAAAAAAAATGAACGCATATGAAATTGACAAATCAAATTTTAGAACAGAGTGGGGATGAGGGGGGAAGGTAAGTTTCTGTGAGGTAATGACATTAGGGGTGATAATTGGGGAAGTTAACCCAGTCATTACCTCACAGAAACTTACCTTCCCCCCTCATCCCCACTCTGTTCTAAAATTTGATTTGTCAATTTCATATGCGTTCATTTTTTTTTGTCTCACTTTGATATATATGGTTGTGCTGATTTTCTTCCACATATTGATCTGAGGAAGTGGGTCTGGCCCATGAGAGCTCATCACCTAATAAACCATCTTGTTAGTCTTTAAAGTGCTACATAGTTCTGTCTTTTGTTTGAAAAATTAATTTTTTTTACTTTTCCCTAATTTGGGACAGGCTGCTTAGAAGCCCAAGAACCCAGGAACTGACTAGAATTCTAGGTAACTTGGGGAGCTGGATAGCAAGGAATCAAGAAAGTGACTAGTTGATGGCTTAGAACCCCAAGGAGCTGGCCACGTGGGGAACCCTGCAGTCCCTGGCTTCTCAACAGCCAAGATGTCAAGAAGTCAGTAGTCTGGAAGCCCTGGCAGCCTGTGCTGCCATGGAGCCAAAGAGCCTGGAATCACTAGATCCGCAGTAGCCTGCAAAGTGGGCTGCTGAGGAGATGGAAAGCTTGGGGGGACATGCAAATGAGCTGGCAGGAAGCCAGATGGATTTCTGTCAAACACTGACAGAACTGACATGTTCCTGCAGAATGTTTTGATGTCATTAAATCAGAATTTTTCATTAGAAAACCATTCTGTGGGACAATTTCCAACCAGCTCTAATAAATACTGTTCTCTTCAACCGCCCACTGTAATTAAAAAAAAGTGTCAAATGGGTTCCTAAAGTGCAGATCTGAGTTTCATGGTGGCATTTAATTGTATCATCAATATGCCTCATTGCAATTTAATTTAGCATTGCATTAGTATTGTTTTTCAAAGCTAAATCAGACTGCAGGTATGATGTGCATTATGCAACAAATATTCGCTGCCAGGAAGTACAGAGATTTTTTTTAACATGTTACAGAAATGACTAAAGATCTTTCATTTCTTATGGAAACAGTGTATTTTTAATTAGATTCAGAACACTAAATTCATGTACGCATATGAATTCAAGCAGCTTTGTGTCTTCAGTCTAAATTATTTGTTTACATTAAAATAGAAATAGGAATATTAATAATATTACCATCAAAATTGAAGTTTTCTAGGTGACCAATAAATTATCATTAGTAGGTATCTGATTTCATTTGTGTTTGATTTTCTCACTTATATGTTGAGATGTGACCATTTGCAATTTTAAAAGATATAAAAAGCTCTTGCTGCATTTGCCATCCATGATGTTTGAAATAGGCAAGGAACACATCTTTAAATAATTATTCAAAAGTAATAAGGTTTCTCTCGCACTCCCTCCTACCCACGATTTTACATTGTGAAATTAACCAGCAGGCTAGTAAATTTTCTCCGTGGCAGGCTAATTAATTTTATTAAAACGATCAGTGACATTTAGAATGCTTTAAAATTTTGTCTGTCAATTATGATTCCATCTGTTGTTGACATTACACCTTGACTAGAGGGACAAGAAAGTGGCAGGGAGAAAGGTACTACCAAAGAAGAAAAGGAAGATTTACTTCTTTTTGTGTCACATTTTTAGACGCAAAATATTTAGACAAATATAAAAAGAGCTAAACAGGCAAGATAATTACTTTATATTCAAATAGCATCGTTAGAGCAGGAATCTATCAGATTAACTACCTGCCAATTAAACTTTGTTCTATGTAGGGCATTTTCTAAATGCAATATCCAATTCTATTTGAAAAGGTCCCAAGAGACTAGGATTTCTCTTGGAAGACCATTTCCACAACCTAATACATCTCACTGTCGATATTTTAGCTCAAATTTTCCCCTTTCAATTTCATTCCTCTCTCATCCCATCTTGGGATACTGAAAAATATATCTGAAAAGGGAATTTTTTTATTTTATTTACTTCTGGTATGTCTTTCCATCCACTTCTACACCATGGTGACAGTTTTGCAGTGAGGAAATCTAGTTTTCAGCTAATGCATGTAAGAAAATTTTAACTAGTTTTATGGATGATAAAACAAGCAACTAATGGCAAAGATCTTAAATTTATAGAAATACTATAATTATTCCAAGTAGTTTAAATTAAAACAAACATAAGAATGATAACACCAATATGTTAGTACTTATATCTCCAAATGGATGACCGAGTGGGCAGAAAAGACTCCAACACATCATGGTTTATTTTATTTTTATGCTAAATGCCCAGATAACTGTTGAAACTATGCAAGAGTACAATAATCAGTTACATTAAAATATATTGACAGGATTAAACCAATCGTTTTGCCTTAAAAGTTTAAGGAGGAAATATTAAATTATTTAAATATATGCAGATATGTAAACAGACCAAAAATTAAATCAATAATAAATAATAAGCTTAAATATGAAGGAAGATAAACATGAGTCATTCTATTCTTTGGAAGAACTTATTTCTTATTTTAAATAGCATACAGTTATTGCTTTCTGACTTAGTAGGGCTCCAATCCTACAGTTATTGTTAATGCACAGGCAGATGCCTGAGCTCACATGCTGCCAGTTTAATTGGGGCTTATGGACCAGATTTTTAAATGTATTCAAGCACCTAAAAATTCACAAAGATACTTTGTGTGATTTTCAAAAGTGGCATTTTAGCACCATATGCTTTTGAAAATGCCTCTATACATCTATATGCATCTCGGGGTGCCTGAGTAGCGTTATCAACCTAGCCCTATGTCTTTTATTCATCCACTTTCAACAAAGTTAGCATCCTTCACATTAGAAAAATGTACAATCATAACAATTTGCTTGGTTTCTTACCCCCCACCCGTCAAATGCTGGACAAATTCAAAGTTTTGTGTATTTCAACCCTGAGATGTTTTATACCATCCTTAAAGTATATTCAATAAACACACAATATGTTGTATTGGTGCCATTTTAACAACATTCACTGAACTATGTGAAAGAAGCATTCTTTGATGATTTTTACTCTTTTCTTCAGAGCATGGTAAAGCTAAAGCTCCTTAATCCTCTTAAAACATTTTGTGACTTGTGTCTCAAGAAACTACAACATTAAAAATAACTCCCTGATACAGTAACTTTGACTGTGGTATTTTACTGCATTAAATTTCATTACACTGAGACTTGTATAGGAGTAAGTTATAACGGTGAAGTGTCAGAAATCTACAAAAGAAGTTCCAAAACAATTAATAGCTACAGCAATATCAATCATCATTGGTGGTTTTTACTTTTATCTTGCTTTCTAGTTAGCTGTCCTCCTTACACTGTCAGTTCAGTTAGAATATTTCACCTACACCTCACAATATGTCGAAAGGAAGTAGACTCATGCTGTGAAAAGCTGGTAATTTTATTGGGTTCCTCTACTTTTAAAAATCTGTTACTTGGCTAAGTCTGGTTTCTGAGCTCCTTTTTTGCAGGGAAATTGAGGCAAACATTTTTATGTGGCCCTATGGTGTCTGCTCACAACAAGAAGAATTTATATACGCAAGGATCATTAGTGCAGTGTTGCACCCATTAGGATATAATAACCGTCAGAGAGGACAAAAAACAGATCAGCATCATGTATTCAAACCAACAGGCTCACATAAAAATACTTGCCAACTACATTTCACATGCAAAGGCCACTGCATGAAATATAAACTTTTACCAAAGGTTTTAACAGAGATATTTTTTAAACCAATCTAGCTGTAAAAACACATTCTTCATAGCACATTTTAGGGATTCGATCTGTTATTTAATCTCTATAGTTTGTTACTGCAAGAATGCACATACAGGAAACCCTAAACAACATTTTAAGAATGCCAAATGTATTTGCTGTACATAAAATTGACACATCTGTAGATCTTAAAGATTTAGTACTAAAGAGATATTTCTTTCCTGTTACCACCACTGCTGAAAAGCATATTATGTATTTCCAATAGTCGTAAGGTAGGACATAACTGGTACTAGATATCATTTTAAATGGCATTTGGTTATAAAAAGGGATCTGAGAAAATTTACACATGTTCAGCAGCTGCAAAGTAGTTAATGCAACTACTAAATTATATTTAATAGAAATATGAAAAATAATTTTAAAAACAGAATTTTAATAATCAAACAGAAACACATTAGTTTTTAAAACAACTCTCTGAAAGTTAAATTTCTTTGGGCCACAATTAACTATTTTACACAATGCATTACTAGTAACTAAGCTTTGGTTCCAGTGGGAAACTAAAGTCCACCTTTGGAAATTTTAAATGAAGA